CTGAGCCATCTCCCCAGCCCCTGAAGTACCTTATAATAACAGAATATTCCTAACTCCCTTTCTCACGCACGCGTCACTGCTGTCATTCATCTCACTTACATAAACTATAATCAGTGTACACAGTATTGCTCTTCTGTTGGATAGACTGTTCCATGTGAGACCAAAAAAGAACAAGGAAAGTTTTGACTTTAGCTTCAGTTCTTCCTCCTGTGATGGTTTCCATGTAAAATATCCCACAGAAGTGTCTCCTCCTCAGTGGATTCCCCGCTGTGGAGTTCATACCTGAAGGTGCTGCTAGGAGGCAGGCCTGGCTGGACACGGGTCACTGCGGGTGTGGCCAGGGAGGATCCGTTCTGTCCCTCACTCCTCCCTCCCCCCTCTCTGCCTTTGGGCCCTTCCACGAGCTGTTTCTACCTTAGAGCCACTTATCCATGGACTGAACTCCCCGAAACTGGCTCCAATCACGGGAAGTTTCTTTTGCTCAATCTGGATGAAAATCCCAAATCGGTGCAGTACAGTGCCCTCGTGGCTCTACAGAGCCCGGGTTAATGCTGCCAGTCTTTAGGACTCTGCAGGCCAGCAGCCCCCAGTGTTCACAGCTCTTCTTACAGTGTGACATGTTCCAGCCACCTTCCCCTGGATAAAAATTCTGACACAGTTTTCAATACCACTGGGACAAAGCTTTATTGATACGGGGCTGTGCTGTACTCCAGGGCAGTCAGCACCCTGGAGGGAGTCGCTAGACTGACCTGTGGGGGGGACTGCTGCTAATAACGAGAGGAGCAGTGGTGGCCTAGGCATGCGCTGCTTTGGACATTTCCCGGGCCTGTGATTGGTCCAGTTTCAATGTGCCACCGCATCATCTGTGACTGACCCAAATTTAAGCGTGCTTAGTCAAGGCAGACATCTTCTGGCATGGGTGTAGGGCTTCCAGGACAACCCTCATATCATGGCAGCGGGTCCATGGAACAGTGGGAGGAGCATGTACTTGACTGACAGCGGCTACTTCCCTCAGAGAATGGTGAAAATGGGGCCAGGGAGATGGCTCAGTGGAATAAGCGCTTCCCTAGCAAGCACAAGGGTCTGAGTTCAATCCCCGGTTCCGCCAAAAAAAAAAAAAAAAGAAGATGGTGAAATTGAGGCTGTGACTGCTACTGTTTGCCAGGAGTCCCCAAGGGGGTTGATGTTGGTCATGGCCCATTGGGGCGTGGGGCCCCAGCTCCATCCGGATCTCAATCTTGTCAAGGGTGATTTTCCAGCAGTTCCTTAGCGTGCAAGAGCTGAGGAGGGGTTCTGGGACTGTCAGCTGAGCCAGGCCATCTGTCTACATAACCCAGAGGGTGTCCTTGAAGTCACTTCACGGTGACAAGACATCCCAGCCCACCCTCAGGCCTCAGAGGGAGTGGTGACAGATGTCAGTTGGAACCCTCCTGGCTGTCAGTAGCGAAGAGTTTGATCATTGCTGTCTCAAAACTGCGGGGCAAAATAAACCTCTCTTTGGCCAGGTGTGGTGGTACATGCCTATAATGCCATCACTCAGGAGGCTGAGGCAGGAGGATCACCACAGGTTCGAGGCCAGCCTGAGCTACACTGTGAGACTGTCTCAAAATGAGTAAGTGAATGAACAAATAAACCTCCCCTCCCTAAATCACAGGTGTCAGATATTCCGTCCCTGCAGTGACAAAACAACTAATACCCTCCTCTAGTGCTCTTCCTTCTTTGTATAGATCCAGGTTTTGAGCCTGAGTAATTTTCCTTTTGTCAGAGAATTTCCTTTAACATTTCTTGGAAGCCAGGTCTCCTAGGAATAGTCTCTAAATTTCTGTTTATTGAAAATATAACGTTCTCCTTCAAGGAGAATTTTGAAAGATACAACAAATTTGAGGCTCCCCCGCCTTTCCTCATCCCCACTTTATAAATAGTTCACTCTACGCTTTGTGCTTGCATCGCGCATGGTCTCCTGAAAGGTCAGGCGTAGTTCTTACACTTGTTCCTCTTGTTAGGTAAGGTGCTACTTTGGGGGTGTCTTTGGAATTTTCATTCTTTATTTCTTTGCACTTTTTGCAGTTGGAGTACAGTATGCCAAGGTGTGCTTTTTATCATTTGTTGCTTGCAGTTATTTTGCTTGTTCCCCAAGCGTCCTGCACCAGCAGCTTGGTGTCTGACATTTGGGCAGAATCCAGGTTCTCACTGCTTTCAGTGCTGTTTGTCTTTCTTCTTCTTCTTCTTCTTCTTTTTTTTTTTTTTAATTTTATTTATGTGTGTGTGTTTCTGTGTGTGTGTGTGTGTGTGTGTGTGGCCAGCTCAGCCCACCAGGGGGCGGGGCTGGCTGGCATGTGGTGCTGGGATTGAACCACAGTCCCTGTGCTTTGCTAAGCTTGTTCTAAGTAGGTGCTTTAGTCCACTGAGCCATCTCACCAGCCCTTCTTCTTCTTTCTAGTGTTCCTGTCACACGTTAAGTGGCACATGTGTGGCTGCATCCCAGCTCAGGCATTCTCTCCTCACCATCCCAGGTCCACATTCTTCACTGCTGTGAGGGAGGTTTGGTCTTCTGGCATTTCCTTTTGTTTCTCTCTTAGAACAGCCGTGTCTGTGTATTCTCTCCAGCTGTTCTTGCATGCTGTCTGCTTTTGTCATTAGAACCCTCCCCAATCAGTCATAGTAGTTTTAAATTCTTATGCTGACAATTCCAAAATCTCAGCTATAGCTGTGTCTAAATCTATTGTTTACTCTGCTTCTTTAAACTAAGTTTTGTCTTTTAGTATGCCTTGTAGATGCACGAGATATGCTGGGTAAAAGAAACTCCAGTAAATAAGCCTTCAGGGATGGAGACAAGGGACATATTGAGCAGGAAGGGAAGTGTTCTATAGTACTATGGTTAGCTCGGCACTGTGGGGCACACCTATAGTCCTGTCTGTTCAGGAGGCTGAGGCAGGCAGATTGCTTGTGCCTAGGAGTTTGAGACCAGTCTGGGACAATGGCAAGACTCCATGTCATTGTCATCATCAACAACAAAACAGCAAACAATTAAATATAGCACTAGGATTGGTTCTAAGTCTCTCTACTCTCTAGGGCAAGACCATGTCCTAGCTATCAACATCGATAGCTTTTCCATCCCCCTCTGTGGCACCGTGGCTCAAGGGACCTAAACATATATTCCCTTTCCTGCAGGTTGGTTGGGCTCTACTAAAACCTCTCTGCTAGACTCTGTAAAATAACTCCTCTTGAGAATAGGCCTCAAGTTCCAGAATGGAGTTGGGGTGTAGCTCAGTGGTAGGGGGCTTCATTAGCACACATCTGGCCCTGGATTTACTCCCCAGGATCGCAAAAGAAAAATGAAGCACAAAACACCCACAAATGCTCTGGTGTCTTCCAAACTCGCTGCATTTCCTGCTGTCTGCCTGCCAGGGACCAGGCTTTTTTTTTTTTTTTTTTTGCGGAACTGGGGGGTTGAACTCAGGCCCTTATGCTTGCCAGGCAAGCACTTATTCTATTGAGCCACCTCCCAGCCCAAGGGACCAGGCTTTTTCTTCAGTCTTCCAGATGAGACCATAGCAGAGTGCTTGGAGGGGAACCCACTGAAGCGTGGGGCCCCCTCTGCCTGGGTCACTGCACACCTGCCCACCCCGATCCCACCCACACACGAGGAGCTGCAGCACTGCCCTCCTGCTCACGGGGGCCCACGCAGGGCTTGTGTGTGCAGCACAGCTGGAGGAACGGCGCCCAGAGGGACCTTGTGGACCTCCCACATAGATGGACCCTGTCCCTCTGCACTAGAGGTGGCCCCTCTCTGCTGGCCCCTGGCCAGGTCCCTTTTTATTCCATTTCCAAGGGAACCGCCTGAAAATAGGGCATGTCCCCCTTCCCTGCTTGGGAGCTCAAAGTGGCTCCTTCGTGCCTCCCATGGTGTCACATACCTGACCTGCACCCCCTTCCCTGCCCAGCAACGCCTGCCGCCCTGGAGATCCTCTCTCCAGCCCTGGTCCGTGACTGGCTTCACTCCCACTGTCCCCTGCTGCCCCTGCCTCACTCCTCCCTGACTCCAGCCCACCCTCACAGACAGCTGAAATGGGCCGCGGCTCCCTATTGCCTATGGGATCAAGCCTCAGATCCTTGTCTGCCCCATACCTGGCCCCTGGCCCCTCCTGCCAGCTCTGACAGAGCACCCACCCCTGTGTCGTATACCCTGCCCTCCTGGCTCACAGAAACGCCTCTGGGCTGAGTTCTTATTATTCTTTATTGTACCTCCATTACCCACACTGTACCTAATATGCCTTTCTCTCTTACATGTTTTTAGCTAGGTGAGACCAGGAACCTTGTCTTCATCTTCCTGTGACCCCAACAGAACCTAGCACGTGTCCAGGAAAGAGGAGCTGTGGTGCTGTATTAGCAGAGTCCCACTCATACCTCGCCTTTGCTCTTGCTCTTACGAGTCCTTCTGCCTTTCCCTGCCACCCAGATCCCACCTGTCATCTAGAATGAGTTGGGTGCCAGCTCCCACTGGAGCCCACAATGAGGGCTCCCACCTTGGAGTCCCCACCCCTTCTGGTCCTCGCGTTTCCTGGGGCAGGGCAGTCTCTGCTGGGCCAGCCGTGTCCTGAAGGCTGGGCCCAAGGTCCCTTGCAGCAGTTCACTGGGCTGGGTGCTCTAGGCAGGCAAGTGGTCCCTCCGCTCCGAGACAGAGGAAGCAGTGTCAGGCACAAGCTGACCCAATAACAATATGGCTCTAATGTCATCTGATGGCATGAGCAAGGACCATAGGAGTTCGAGGGGGCATGGCTGCAGAGCCCAGGCTGGAGTGCTGACCGTGGAGGTCAGGCTGGCCAGGGAGGGCAAGCCGGCAGCGGTCAGCTACTTCAGCAGGAGATGAGCAGTGGGTTGGCGAGTGCGGGGGCCGTGGAGGCGGGTCCCAAGGACGGTGTCTGCAGGAGCTTGCAGCCGGCCAAGGCTTCGTGCAGGGCGTCCAGGACAGCCAGGGGGCCCGATCTCCCCGCTGGAGAGGAGACAGGCAGGAGGGCAGGGTCAGGCCACCACTCTGCCCCACGGAGCTGCCTTATTCCCACATCCAGGACCACTGCCCAGCCACCTTCCACCCTATCTCTTCCCCTGAAAGCCCTGATGGGAGTCCTAAGCATGCACACTGCCTGGCTTTCCTGTGGATGCCGAGGACTGAGCAGAGGTTCGCACCGTCAGCCACCCCACCAGTGGGGCCTGGAGGCAGAGCTCTGCCTCAGTGACAGGAAGTGAGGCTGCCCTGGGCTTTTTCTGAGCAACAGGGGCTGTGAGGCTTCACGCTTACGGGCGATGCGCAAGGCCACAGGCACGGCCAGCACTTGGCCCTCTGTCCTCAGTGTCTCCATCTGTGGAAGGGGGCTAACAACTCCTTTCTGATGGGCCTGTTGTCAGGATCAAGGGTTAAGAGCACTAGCAGCACCTCAGCAGGGCCTGGCCCAGAGTTAAGGCAGGACTGGGGGACACCGTTTTGTAGAGGGGACCTTCAGGACTGAGAGTGCTGGCATTTGCTAATTGGAAGCCCTCCCGCCGGTGTCCAGGCTCAGCAAGATGGGGCACTCGCCTACCCTGTGCAGGGTCCTCGCAAGCATCCAGGGTGCTCAGCAAAATCTTCCCCAGGGCTCTCTTCGATATGTTCTTTAGAAGAATGGAGACAGGGCTGGGTCAGACCACGACTGGGATGTGTGTCCTCACTCAACAGCTGGGCCCCGGTGGCCTACGGCAGCTTCTGTGCAGCTACAGACTGGCCAGGCAACCCCCGTGTCATCCTTTCCTGGCTCCCCACCCCTGGGCTGGCCATACTGTGTGCCCACACAGGTACCCGGGAGTTGACTGACAAAGGGAATGGTTTTATGCATTAACTCATGTAATCCTTGCAACAGCTTATTTTCTTAACCAATGAATGGAAAAAGCAAGGCAGAGGAAGAACGGGAAACAGGGTCCAAAGCCACTCGGCTGGAGGTGGACCAGCATCTGCCACCCACCCGGCTTGCACAGCCCTGGGCCCCACCAGCAATGGGAACCTCCCTGCCTGCTGGGCTGGGACTCAGCTGGCCTGGGGGCCCATCCCCTGCTCGCTCTGCTTGTCTAAGCCCTGTGACACTGGGCTAGACCATGGCAGCCCAGGGCCCAGGCAGCCCAGTGCACGGAGAAGCATCCTGGAGGCCAAATCCTACCCCAACCTCGTATCAGCTACATAATCCTGGGCAACCTAACCATGCAAGTATTTTTTTCTTTTATGATAAATGCGCCTGGGGTTGTTCGTTGGACCTCTTATCTGCCTATGAAAGGTCTCCACTGTCCACAACTTGCCAAGAGGTTATAATTCAAGAACCAAATTTTAGCAACTGCCCTTTCTGTATCTATTGAGATGACCATATGAGGCTCTCCCCTAAGCTGCCATGGGGCATGTCACAGTAAAAAATTATGTGCCGTGGGGTCATCCTAGACTCCCTTGGAGAAATCCAACTAAGCCACATCACCTTGTTTTCCTGTGCTGAGGACAGAGGCCAGGACCTCGTGCATGTTGGGCAAGCACCTGCTGCCGGGCTACACCCCAGGCCTCTGCTGCACTGCTTTACATGCTGCCGGATTTGGTTACCTCGTGTTTTCTTTCATAATTTTGCAGCGGTGTTGAAATGTCATGTTTGCTTGTGATTTTCCTTTCTTTGTATTTATCCTTTTATGGCCTCGAGTTCACAAGTACATGGGATTCTGAGAGTAACCCGGGGAGCCTCCCGCCTATTCTCTTTGGCTTCCCTTGTTCTGCATCTGCAAAGCGGGTTGGCATCTGCCAGCCCTGAGGAGGGCCCAGGGTCCGGATCCCTTCCCCACACAACCCTGCTGCCCGCAGACTACCAGGTCCCGGAGCCTCCGCAGGAGCTGCAGGACATCCACCAGCTTCTCCTCCAGTAGCGACAGCCGCACCCGCTCAGTCTCCACCATCTGTAGCTCCAGCCTCAGGTGCTCGTTCTCGGCCACCTTTGGCTGCAGCTCTGCCTGGGGACAAAGAGGTTCAGCATTCACTCCGGTGCCCTATGCACCATTCTCACACCAGCAAGATCCCCGGCCTGCCCGACCCCAAGGCAGATGTCGTCCCATCTGGAACCGCTCTGATTCCCCAGGCTTGGTGCCAAGGCCCAGGAAAGCCAAGTGCCTGGCCCAAAGGTGCTGAGCAAGTTAGCATATTTTGTCTCTTGGTCTGAGGGCTCCACTCTTCCTGTTCTGCAGCTATCTCATTTCTGTTAATTACTTTTATGTTGGTAGCAAGCAACAGAAACCCATCTGAGGGCCAGCCAAATAGCTCAGCGGATTAAAGCCTGCCAAGCAGACGCAGGAGCCTGCTGTGCTAGCTCTGCCCCCAGGGTGTGCTGAGACAGCAATTGAAACTGGGCATGGTGGGCGCACCTCTAATCCCAGCTCTTGGGAGACTGTAAACAGGAAGTCCGATCTAGTAGTGAGACCCTGAACACCCTGCAGACCCCTAAAAAAAAAACAACCGTGTGGCTTGTTTACATGAGGGGTGCACTGGCACTTAGGGAGAAGTTTCAGGCCGGACTGGCCCTGAAGAATCTCAGGAAGGAGCTGCCACGGGATGCGGACAGCAGAGCCACCCCAAGCCTTCCTCCCCTCCACGAGCCACTGCTGAAACGGACCCTGCCCAAAGTCGGGCCCGGTGGTGCATGCTATAATCCCAGCACTCGGGGAGGCTGAGACAGGAGGACTGCATAGTCAAGGCCAGCCCGAGGAACTCAGGAACTTAACAAGACCCTGTCTCAAAATAAAAAATAAAGCCAAGATCTGGGGTGTGTAGCCCAGTGCAAATGCCTCAGTTTCCATCCTCAATACCACAAAAAGTACAACTGAACAATTCGCTGTCCAGCCCTGTCCTCCACCCCTCTCAGGTAGGTAGAAGGCCTCCAGGGCCAATGGGGCTTCCCTTGGCCACCAAGACACCCAAGATACGGAGTGGGACACCATGCAGTCACTGAGAGCGCTGTGGGCACCTCCAGCTACCACCCGGGCTCCAGGCAGCAGGAGAGATGGCCCAGAGCCTCCCCGGGCAGGCGGACGGGAAGCTGGGCTCACTCGCCCCGGCTGCTCTATCCTTGAAATTTACTCAGAAGAGCAGCGGTGGCTGTGTCCTTTGGAACTCTGTGGCTGCCAGTTTCTTCCTGGCAGTGCCTGGCCGGGCAAGATCAAGGCCTTAAGACAGCGGTGGGGCCAGATGCTGAGAATGACCTTGAACATGTCAGATGCATGCAGCACCTAAGACTACTAGAAGGATCTACGTCCTCTCCGTGAAAACCACAGCTCATGGGTTCCGAGGGCTCACCACCAGCATCCACCCTTCCGATGCAGGAAGCATAGCACATTAGTCTGCCCATTTTACAGATGAAAAAACAGAGGCAGAAAAAACTTTCCCCCATAGGTAATAGAGCAGGATATGAAGCCGGAAGTCCAGCGCCAGCACATACCTACCGTGCTGTGAGCACTAACTTCCTGCCATTCTTCCCAATCAGGTTCTTTCTGTTACATAAAAACCCCAGGAGGTCATTGTTTTGGACTAAGCTCCTATATTGGGCCTCGACAGAGCAAGCTAAAAATAAAAATGGAGTCACTCCTGCTGAAGTCCCACGACACCAAACCCAAGCTGAGCGCTCTGTGGCCTCCTGAGTACTCGGGAGAGCGTCGTCAGTCAGATGTCCCCCACAGGCCGGCCTCGCTGGCACCAGGATGCACCGCGGTGCCTCAGTCCACAAACTTCATTCTTTCCCTGACTCTAGTCGCATGCCAAGTTGGACACCGCATGGAGCTCAGTGGCTAGGTGGAATGCTGACGTCAGGGGTAAGTTCAGTCCAGTTCCCATGCAACTCAGTTCATGACCAGAACTGAAAAAATTGAGTTGGTGAACAGCGGCACCCCTGGCATCGCTTCTTAAGAAGCTAGAACTATGTCAGGCTGCACATATGCTAAAATATAGCACAGCCCAGCAGGATGGCGACCGCCTATGATCCCTGCTACTCAGAAGGCTGAGGCAGGAGGACCACACATTCAAGGCCAGCCTGAGTAATTCAGCAAGACTCTTTCTCAAAAGAAAGTGAGAGGGGCCGGGAAGATGGCTCAGTGGAATAAGCGCTTCCCTGGCAAGCGCAAGGGCCTGAGTTCAACCCCCGGTTATGTAAAAAATAAAAGAAAAAAGAAAAAGAAAGGAAGAAAGAGCGGCTGGGGATGTAGCTCGGGTAGAGCACTTATCTAGCAGGTGTTAGTTGGTGGGTTTAATCCCTAGGACAGTAAAAAAAAAAAAGATTTAGAATTTCAGATATAAAAATATAAATCTATCTTTTATCAAAACCACAGTTTGAAAAAAAAAAAAAAAAAACACAGTTTGCAGAAGTGCAGGGGGCAAAGTTTAGTACGAGGACAACTGTCATAGCATGGTGCACCGAATTCCTATGGGGTGGAAAAAGGAGCACAGGCTGCAGAGGCCAGAGTGAGACGCCAAGGGCTGTCGCGGAGGGGGGACAGCTTAGTGTGACTGTGTGTCCAGCCTGCCTTCCCCATGCAGACTGCCCCTGACCTAAAGGACAAGTGACCTGGAAGTACTCACGGTCAGGGATGGTCACATGATGGAGGCTGGGCCAATCAGAGCTCTGCTCGAGATTTCCTTTTTCATCTGGGCTGCTGGAAGTTCGGAGCCTCCACCTAGGCCCTGCCTTCCCATCCCCCACCCTCCTGAGTTGGGGGGTGGGTGGCCAAGACACCGGGCGATGCACAGCAGGCTGGTGGGCACCATGGAGTGTGAGCCCTGGATCCACCCCTGCCTGTCTCAGCTCCGTGGCCTCATAAATCCCTGTTTGGCACTCGAGCTCATCTGACATGGGACCGTTTAACTCGCAAACAAAAGCTTTCTCATTAAATCTAAATCACAGGAAATCACGTCTCTCTGAGTCCTGTCCCTCGGGACTAGGGTCAGAGCCTTCCAGCTGCAAGAGACTCTGGAGCTGGCCGAGCCTTTGGTCCCTGGGGCCCTGCTGACCTCCTCCATGTGTGGCCCCAGGCTCTTCCCGCTGAAGCCCTGGATGTCCAGCTTCTCCAGCAGCCTGTTGACCCGGGCCTCCAGCTCTCCGGGGGAGCAGGCGTGCTCGGCATCACCACAGTGGCTGAAGTACAGCAGCAGCTTCTTGGCCATCTGCTCGTCACACCTGTGCAAGGGAGGGCACCAGGCATGGGGGGGAGGGCTGGGTGTGGCCTGCTCAGCCCGGGAGAGCAGTCCCACCTTCCAAGTCTGTGGTAAAGCCAAGTCACAGCACCGTCATTCAGCACCCTCCTGACGGTCCCATGTCACTTAGAGGAAACACCCGAGGCCTCAACACCTCTGATCCCGCTCCCACCCGCCTCCACTAACTCCTCCAGCCACTGAGGCCTCCTACTGTCCCTCCAATGAATCTCTGGACCTTTGCACTTGCCGGTCCCACTTCCTGAAAGGCTCTTGCGCCAACACCTGCGCTGTTCATTTCTTCATTTCCTTGAGCTCTCTACTCAAATAGGACCTTCTCAGAATCCCCAGTGCTT